TTTACTCGTATTTTATTTACAAACGTTCTAATGCCCTTTACATGATTCATATATATCTTCTGGATTTTTTATGTATTCTTTAACCAATTCAGTTGCAGTTTTCAGGTTTTCCTCTTTAACAAGTTTTAGGAGCTTGAAAAAAACGCGAGTCCAGTAAATTTTCTGTTGGGTTTGGGCTTCAAGAATTCTTTCATAATCAACCATGTCATCTTGGCACTCAAGACAGATATAAGCAACTGTATGGTCCTAAAAAAGTAAAACATTTCTAACATATTAAAAAAGCTGCTTGCCTGCCACGACAGTCTTGTTTTGACATTATCATACTCACCTCCAAAGTTTTGTTTTCTTGTTGGGCCATGAAATCTTCAGTGTGTCTTTTCAGGATTCTTCTTGGTTTTATGATCTTCTCACTTTACTTCTGCAACTTTTAAGATAAGAGTGGGCAAGTTCTAGTGATTTGAGTTAAAAAGGTTATTGAGGCTGTTTTGTCCACGGAAGTGTTTCTTATTATTTGTTGGAACGTATTTAGAGTCAGAGAAAGACACACAAATGTAAGGTTTAACTCTGCTTTTTTTTTTTGCATTCACTGTATCCCTAAGTTGACAAAACACTTTCTGTAGCTTGCATAATTGAGCCTACATTGAAGCAAAATTACAAGTTCGTTGAACATGGTGTGTTTTTTTGAGGTTTAGGTCTAGGTCTGGCTTTGTTGACATGCAGTCTGGATTCTGGAAACCTGAGAACTGTGCTTGTCTGTCAAGCACAGGTTATCTAGTAGGTGCCGCTGGTCTTTAATGACCTGATTGTTTGCTGCTAATTTTTTTCCTGTTGTTTGATCATGACGGTAAGCAGCTCCTATGGGCTCTGTGACTGATCTGGTCTAAGGCTGTCTGGAATACTGCATGTTTTCTCAGGACTTGGAGTGACAGTTTACATTTGGCCCATCTGGTCTCCAGTGTAGTATGGCAATTCTGGATGGATTTTCCACCCTTGTCAGCTTTGTGTTTTTTAGGAGCTGGTTCTGTGGCTGGAGTCTCTGTAGTTGGACCGTAATCATTATGTGGTCTTTTAGATGACTTGATCAGTGATAATTTGGGCACTTGGCTGGAGTTCTAAAGAGAACTGTTTGGCATGCTTTTTAATGCAATACTGGTTTTGGAACCAAAGGATTGAATCCTTCATCAGTTGTGAGTAGCTTTTTTACAAGAGCTAGTGCTGTGGCTTAAAACTCAAGTCTCTTTATATAGCATACTTGTGCCAGGGTAGGAACCAAATATAATGGAAAAAGCACCAAATGTAATGGTGTGTAAACTGAACATATTGGAAAAGCACCAGATATAACGGTGTTTGAACCGAATGTAATGAGCTCTGCACCCTATATCATGAAAATAGCATTGATTATAAAGACAGAGGTACAGAGTATAATGAAATAAAACCAATGTAAGAGAAAAAAGCACTATGAGACAGTTCTGGAGTTCCATAGATGTGGTTGTGTTTTTCAACAAACAAACAGCACAACTCCCAGTTTAAAACAGGACAAAAAAACTTTTAAGTACTCTACAATGCAATTCCTTCCCTTCTTACCTCACTAACCAAAAACTAGCAAGGTTTTAAAGCAAACTTAAGTCACAAAAACCTCTAGCTGAAGGTAACACTCCTAAGCACAGTAATGTAGATACTAAGTATAATAACAAAACACTGAACTGAACATTTTTGTTCACAATTTGGAAAGGTATATAAGTGCTGGTGAACATGAGAATTTTTATCTGTCAGTAGATTTTCCTTTACCCTAATGAAAAAATGGTGAGTTGCCTCACCAAAGTAACCACAGTTACATCCAGCATAATTAAAGGCATTCGGAATTGGAAGGTTAAAGGTTAATTCTTATTTATTTATTTATTTATTTTTTTGAAAAGGAGGTAAAAACAAATTTTAACATCCCTGGTAAGCCAAATTCTAGACTCAGCCAACCTTCTTTACTTGACTGAATGAACACAGCTTTTGAGGGAATTACTTTCTCTAAAAATAGCACTCGCGGGAGTGCACGTGGTTTCAGCTATAGTAAGTAAAGATTTTAATATGGGAATTGGTGCATGAAGTTGAAGTCAACACAGGTCAGGTGTTTGTCAAATAATCAAATGGAAAAGGGTTGGATGTGAGCACAAGGACAAAGATGGGAAAATGAATGTGGATTTCGTTAAAAATAAATAAATAAAAAAAGAATGGTAGAGGGAAAAGTTTTTCTGACAGTGAAGGTAAAGTGTTGTGGCCTAAGGTTGTTGCTTGGGTTGAAAATTTGATAAATATTATTTATATTATTCGTGTTCAGCAAAATTTGGGGCAATGTCTTGTTGGCATTTGAAGAGTTTATATTAAAGAATGATGAAGTGCCAAAGACCTTTCCTGGATCACACTTCAGTGAAAAGAGATAATGAACCAAGGTTGAAGCTTGGAAGGCTGTAACACTATTTAGTTGTAAAGAAATAACAGTAACAGTTTATTCAAGTCATCTTTGCATATTTGTAGATACAAAGAGGTTGTTTTGTTTTAACTACAATATAAAGTGAGGCTAATGTAACGCTTTAATTGTGTGGATTTAAGTAATTATCTTTGGCTCACAATTCCACTTTGGGTGCTTTCAACCTGTAATGTACTCTAAGGAATGTAAATGCTTTTTAACAAAATCAACATGAACATTTGTTAACTGTTCACATGAGTCCAGTATAAATTAGGTTATAAAAAACTGCATCCAGTTTTTTTTTTAACCCCAAGATAACTAAACAGAACTGAAGTTGTGCATTCACTGGCAATTTAAGCAATGTAAATGCCTTTTAACAAAATTAACAGCAATCTTTGTTAACTTTTTACAAGAGGCGAGTATAAATGAGGTTATGAAAAACTGCATTCATTTTTTTAAACTGCAACATAAGAAAACACAATCTTGTGCATCGTCTGGCGATTTACATAATTCATGGTTTGAAATTAGATAGTTGTTCTGCTTGTAGATGCAATGATTGCATTGAAATTATTAACTACAAACACAGCTACACTACTTTTGGCGTGTACTAAAACCAGGAACACTGTTGTAAAAAAATCCTAACCACCAAAAACAGTAAATGCAAACAATAGCTACTAATCGCTCTGTTATGATAGTTAAACAAACGTTTGGCCTCGTTACTAAAGGCTTTAATCTACAAAAACCTCGTGCTACATATACTTCACAAAATGGCGTCTTCACAGAACGAGTCCGCTGACATATGTGTTGACGGGCACTAAAAGGTATCGGTATCCCGGATTAACAATAACATCAACAATGTAAATTACGAGTACCGGTAAAGTTACTTAAATGAAGTTTCCAATGTTTGACTGTCACTACATTCACCCCTTCCTATAAATCGAGCCTATCTACAGGGCGGCGCTCTCGCTGTGATCTCAATTCTGTGGGTTCTGGTTCTTTAGTTGGTTCTTGCGTCTTATCAACATGATGATCGTTGACGGGAGAAAACTCACTAGAAATATTGGGTTTAACGACTGGGAGCTGGATTGAAGAGGGTGGTTCTAGAAGTTCCACTTGACCACAAGGAGCAAGATTCTTGGTTGAAACTGTTGTTTCTCTGCCATTAGGGTAACGAACGTGAGCGTAGTGAGTATTGGTCTGGAGAACATCAGCTTTTTCAACCAGAGGATCAAACTTACTGTGTCGTACATGACGCTTTACATAAACAGGGCCAGGTTCAGCCAGCCAAGAGGGGATCGAACTACCTGTGGATGAACGGCGTGAAAAGTTCAGGAAACGTTCATGCGGAGTCTCATTCGTTGCGGTGCACAGAAGAGAACGGATCGAGTGCAACACATCTGGCAGGACCAATTGCCACTGTTCTGCCTGAAGCTTCTTTGACTTAAGAGACGTTGTAATCGCCTTCCATACAGTGCCATTGTACCTCTCAACTTGACCATTACATGTGGGGTTATAACTGGTTGTACGACTTGTAGATACACCTTTGCTAGAGAGGAATTCCCGTAACTCTTGACTCATAAACGAAGCCCCTCTGTCAGAATGCACATAGGCAGGCATACCAAATAGAGAAAACAATGTGGTGAGACACTTTATAACGGTCGGAGTAGACACATCAGGGCAAGGGAAAACGAACGGGAACCGTGAAAACTCATCAACAACATTCAGGAAGTATTTGTTCTTGTCGTTGGAAGGAAGTGGCCCTTTAAAGTCAATGTTGATTCATTCAAAGGGTTGGGTAGCTTTTATAAGTTGAACTGGGTCCGGGCGGTGGAATACCGGTTTACATTCACAACAGATTGGACAGGAGTTCACAGTCCTCCTAACATCTTCTAGAGAATAAGGCAAGTTCTTGACTCGAATAAAATGCCATAATCGGGTAATCCCAGGGTGACAGAGCGAATCATGGAGCTTGTAGAGAGCATCACTGACGCTAGAAGCACACGTGGCTCGTGAGAAGGTATCCGGTGCTGCATTATCTCTGCCTGGTCGATACTCTATGTCAAAGCTATAGCAACTCAGTTCAATCCTCCAGCGCATTATCTTGTCATTCTTAATCTTTCCTTGATGACGCTGGTTGAACATGTAGGAAACTGACTTTTGGTCCGTTTTTAGAGTGAAGTGGGACCCGGTGAGAAAATGTCTCCAGTGCCTGACCGACTCAACTATTGCTTGAGCCTCCTTTTCTACAGCAGAGTGTTTCAGTTCACTACCTTGAAGGGTGCGGGAGAAAAAGGCTACAGGTCTGCCCTTCTGATTTAGGGTAGCGGCTAGCGCTACATCTGAGGCGTCTGTTTCCACCTCAAGTGGAATACTCTCGTCTATGGCAGAGACAGCAGCTTTGGCAATGATCCTCTTTAAGTCTTCAAATGCTTTCTGTGCTTCAGAAGATAAAGGAAATGATCTACAACTGGTTATGGGTTTAATTCTGTCGGCGAAACAAGGAACCCATTGAGAATAGTAAGAGAATAGTCCCAGACATCTATTAAGAGCCTTTGAGCTTTGCGGCAGTGGGAGCTCCAGTAGAGGCCTTAATCTTTCGGGGTCTGGACTAATAGAACCATTTTCAATGACATATCCCAGTAACGGCAGTCGTTGAGCAGAGAAGACGCTTTTGCTGTCGTTGAATTTAAGATTCACCTTTTGAGAAGCCTCCTGGAATAATATGAGGTTAGCATCATGGTCAGCTTGATCCTTTCCACATACAGTTATGTTGTCGATGTATGGAAACACAGCTTTCAAGTGGTTATCTTCAACAAATCTCATCATTTCTCTTTGGAAGCAGGCTACATCGTTGGTTACACCGAAAGGAAGCCTGGTAAACTGATAAAGCCCACCTTTAGCTTCAAACGCAGTGTAAGGCTTGTCATCTTCTCTTAAAGGTATTTGATGATACGCACTCTGGAGGTCAAGGGTACTGAACACTTTGTACTGAGCTATTTCGTTGATCGTATCACTGATCCTCGGCAGCGGGAAAGCATCTAGTTGGGTGAATCTATTGATTGTCTGGGAATAATCAATAGCTAGGCGTTTCTTGTGATTTTCATCCTTTGTGACAACTACTTGTGCCCGCCAAGGGGACCGGCTTGGCTCAATAATGCCTTCCTTGAGCAACCGTTCTACTTCATTGCCAATGAAGTTCAGGTCTTCTTTGCTGTAGCGCCTGGACTTTGTAGCAATAGGATGGCAGTCGGCAGTGAGGTTTGAAAATGGTGATGGGGGCTCTATGTTCAGAGTAGTGAGACTGCATACCGACAGCGGCGGTTTTGTTCCGCCATACTTGAATGTGACACTATCATGTTGAGACTGAAAATCGAGTCCTAAAATCAGATCAGAGCAAAGCCCTGGCATAACCAACAGGCGAAAGTCTTTATAAGTTTGACCTTGGTAGTTAATAGTAACAGAGCAAGAGCCCTCGGTCTTTGTACTTAACAAAGATGTTGCCATGGAGACCTGGCTGACCGAAGGGTTAACAGAGATAGCAGCTACTTCAACGAGGCTTGGATGTATGTAGCTTTCACTGCTTCCGCTGTCAAAGAGTGCTTCTACACTCCAGACCTTGTTGACAACAACAGTAGCAGTTGATCCTTTAAGAGATTGGGGAATTCCTACGGTGGCAAGAGTAGGTGGCCAGAGAGCAGCTGAAACTTCGCTGGGTTTAGAGGCCTTGCTTCGGCAGACTTTCGCAAAATGTCCCCTCTTTTGACATTTATTGCAAATTGCATCTCTGGCTGGACACTTGGAACGAGGGTGTTTAGGATTTCCACAGAAGAAGCACTTTGAATCAATTGCAGCGAGTGTGGAGTCTGACTGAGCAGAGTCAACTTGGATTGGATTCTGAGCGGTCATTTCTTGTGCTGAGGCTGCAACGCTGACAGGTTGAGGGACAGAGTAACTCTCTGAACTGCGCATGGCAGAGTCGAGCGCCCTGGCCTGGTCAAACATCGTTTTCAGATCTAGAGTTTTGTTTTCTAGTAGCCTTTGGCGTATTTGGTTAGAATGTAGCCCAGTAATGAAAGCATCCCGTGTATATTCCTCACAATATTTGGCAGCGGTGACAGATTGAAAGTTGCAGTCTTTGGCGAGAGTTTTGAGCGCTTGAAGATATTCGTCTAGAGTTTCACCAACCTGTTGTCGTCTGGTAGCGAGCACGTGTCTGGCGTGGATTTCGTTCGTCGGCTTCACGAAAATATTTTGAAGAGTTTCGATTGCCGATTCGTAGTCGGCACATTCTTCTACATATTCGAATACCGCAGGCGAAATAAAATTTGTCAGGACTCCAAATTTATCGAGGCCTTCTTCCGTCAGTACGGCGAGGAAATTTTCGAAGGTTCGACGCCAGTGAATCCACGATTTTGATGCTCCAGACGTGCTTGGATCGGCGCTGAATCTCTCGGGCCTGAGGACTTTATCCATTTGTTTTTTCTTTTTTGTAGATTAAATTGTTATGATAGTTAAACAAACGTTTGGCCTCGTTTCTAAAGGCTTTAATCTACAAAAACCTCGTGCTACATATACTTCACAAAATGGCGTCTTCACAGAACGAGTCCGCTGACATATGTGTTGACGGGCACTAAAAGGTATCGGTATCCCGGATTAACAATAACATCAACAATGTAAATTACGAGTACCGGTAAAGTTACTTAAATGAAGTTTCCAATGTTTGACTGTCACTACACGCTCACCACTAACCATCAATTCCAACCCTAATTCTAACTGTTCATTAACATTGTTAGTGGATGTTCTGGTGTTCTAGTTTTAGTAGATACCATTATTTGCCACACCTCTGAATGTGCACAGTTTCACATTCTTGTAACAAACTGATGAGTGTTGCCTTTTTTTGCTGAACTCAATGTGAAAAACAGTAGTCGTGAGTTTCACAGAAAATAATCAATTAAACATTATTAATATCAGAATATTTGTGAACTCTCAGTTCTTACTGCACAAGTAACATTTTCTCTTTCAGTATATGAACAAAAAGCCTCTTCCTGCCCCCCAGGGTGTTTCAGTTGACTGGTGACTAGGGGCAGGTAGAAATTGGGCTATGATTTTTGCCTTTCTGTCAACTATTATGGTGTGTTGACCAGATTTTAAGAGGAGGAATTTAAGTTCTGCTAGTTCTATTTGTGTCAAAGATTTAGGAGATTTTACATTTTTGAGAAAACTCTCGATGCCATCATTGAAACATGTATAGGTATCTAATTCTTGAGTAGTAGTTTTAACAATTATTTGTGCCACCATCTTTGTGTTACAGAAAGATGTTAGTGTTGTGATGTTACAATTGGTACAGGGTATTTCTTCTTCATCTGGTGCTGGTTGCTCTTTAGTTGGAAATGTGTGGTTGCAGGCCAAGCAAGATGGTGACTTCTTTATGTTTACTCCTACCACTTTCACTTTGAGGAGATTATTCTTGATTTCTGGTGCGTCAGTGTTGATATTCTGAATATCTATTTCTTCAACTGTTGTGGATTCATTGGTGTTCAGATATTTCTCATCATCGAAAATGCACAGTTACATTTTTGAAATGGTAGGACTTTCCTCTTGCCACTTGATTTATTGTGTTCTCCCATAACACCAACTTAGCACATCCAGTTTCATCAGCCACTAGTGTGTCACACTTGTATCTGGTTTTTCTGTCTTGAACAATGGGATTCTTATTCTCTTCTTTGATAATGACTTTGACCTTAAGGTCTACAGTGACATAGATGTTGGCTTGAAGTGCTTGACTGACTGCATGTAAATGATTGTCAAGATTCTCATTGAAGTTGAACTTTAGCTCAGTTGGCATTATTTTAGCACTCTTAGGAACTGTGAACTCTTCTAAGTCGCTGTTAAGTCGTTTTTTAGGGTTCAAGTTGGCTACTATTTTAACTGGTGATCTTTTTTCATATGCAGTTAGAAGAACGCTCCGTTTTGGTGGTGAAAAACGAACAAGGCGAACAGTTTTATCATCAGACATCTGGAGCTTGAGGTCAAAGTAATTTGTTGTTCCATTTGATGCAGTCCTTCAAGAGCTGAAAATTGAAAGTTAAGCAGTTTTTAGATTGGAAAAGAAGTATGCATTCAATTACTTTGAAGCATTAGTGATATTAGGTCTCTGCCCAGAGTATGCAATGTGAGACTAGAATGCAATCTCACTTAGTGAAATAATTAACAAAACCTTCATTACTGGAATTGCTATTGTATAGTGGTCTTTGCTAAGTATCAAACTAAGTGTAAGACTGACATGGACTTTTAAAGTTACCGCTACTAGTTTAGAATTCATTTAAATTTGAATAAGTACTAAATACTATAAGTATTACATAAAAGTGTTACTGTGGTCCAGAGTAACCGGTATGTAGTTGTTTGTTAGGCAAAAAAGTATTGAATGAAATACTGTGGTTACTTACATGTAGATTTGGACTCTTGATAATTTTTTCTGGAAAAGAGAATAGGCACATGTAAATTATCTTATATTTATTGAAAAACAAGACTCCATATAAACATCTTACACATGAAAAAAAAAAGCATTGTTAAAGGTATACTTACTTTGGTGATGAGTCCGATGACTGAGACATGTTGGCAGTATCTCTATTGATCTGTTAAGTTAAAACAATTAACAATACAATTATATGCTTTTAGTTGCTTAGAGTTAGTTTAATTGTTTTGAATGCTATGTTGGCCACTATGGGAACTTAAGGAGCCAATTTATTATTTAGCTGAAGCAGCTAATTACTGCACAAATTCCTTTATGATCAAAGAAATATGTTTCTAATATATTGACATTCACATGTGTTTCAGGCAAATTTGTATATACATGATCAATACAAGTCTTATTATCTGTTGTATAACAGGACACTAGCTGTCTATAGTTGTTTTCCTTGACAAAGAGATCATAAAGTGGTCTTCGTTGATATTCATTGAGCCAATAGATATTGAAGTCTCCAATAAACACATTAAACTTGGTTGAAGATAGCATGAGTGTTTGCCTTAGAGCAGTGCAGAATTGACTAACTGGCACTCTAGGAGAGCGGTATATTCCTATAATTGTTATATGAGGAATAACCATTAATCTGAGTGAAATTATTTCTATTCCACTTCTATTACAGCAGAATGGATAGCCAGGGTAATAATTAATGCTACTATACACTGCTGTCCCACCATATGGACGACCATTATCATTACAAATATCATCATTTCTAACTAAATTACACTGTCCAATTTGATACATGGTATTGCTATCAGCAGTACTGAAACGTGTTTC